GGTGGACCATAGATGATGGGACTTCAAGTACCTTCACTCACTTCCTGAAAACAATGCAGCCGTTATCCAATGGCCAACAAAGACCAAACTTGGCATACAGAACCGCCATTACCCACTTTCTCTAATAACCCAGGCAGCGCCGGGTCCCCAAGCTAGTATATAATAAAGAAGAGTGTTTGTATGCGACGGGCGGAAGTGCGGCGGAAGTGTATGTGGCAGCTTTCTGATTGGCTGCCACTGTGGTGCTATTTGCATATGGTCTCTGATTGGTCAGCTTCAACAGGAGCCACTGGTGGAGAAGAGGGTTCATGACAGAAACGGGGCATGACAGAAGGAAATTTGCATATGGTCTCTGATTGGCCAGCCTCAAATTCAAGATTCCGAGATGACAAAGAGAGGAAAGGAAAAGGCCGGGGGCTGGGTCAGAACATTACCAATACAGACGAAACTTGGCACAGAGCCCCCATCACCCACTCTACATCCTACTGCAGTTTGGAGGAGTATGAACCATGGATGATGGGACTTGCAGTACCACCACTCACATTCTGAGACCGCTGTTAACCTTATCCAATGTCTGATCAGGACCAAACTTCGCACAGAGACCTCTCATGACCCACTTCATGTCCTGGTGTGGTTTGGCCGGGGATGGACCGTGGATTATGGGACTTGCAGTACCATTGCTCAATTCTTCAGACCACTGCAACCCTCATCCAATTACCAATAAATACCAAACTTGGCACACTGAGTCTCCATGACGCACTCTATATTCAGGTGCAGTTTGAAGGAGGATGCACCATGGACGATGGGACTTGCAACACCTGCACTCCCTTCCTAAGACCATTTCAACTGCCAACAATGATGGATCAGGACCACAATTTACACAGAGACCCAGCATGACCCACTCTACATCCTGGTGCGGTTTGGAAGAATTTGACAATGAATGATGGGACTTGCAGTCACTTCACTCACTTCTTGAGACCACTGAGACCCTCGCCAATGACTAATCAAGAATAAACTTGGCACATGGAGCTTCAATGACCCACTCAACATCCTGGTGCAGTTTGGAGAAGGACAGACCATGGATGATGGGACTTCAAGTACCTCCACTCCCTTCCGAAGATTGCTGCAACCCTCTTCTAATGACCAATCAGGACCAAACTTGGCACACAGAGCCCCCATGATCCACTCTACACCCTGCTGCAGTTTGAAAGAGGATGGACTTTGGATGATGGGACTTGCAGTACCTTCACTCACTTACTGACACCACTGCCACCCTCATCTAATGACTGATAAAGACCAAACTTGGCACACAGAGCCCCCATGACCCACTCTATATCCTGCTGCTGTTTGTAGGAGGATGGGCCATGGATGATGGGACTTCAAGTACCTTCACTCACTTCCTGAAAATAATGCAGCCGTTATCCAAAGACCAATAAAGACCAAACTTGGCATACAGAACCGCCATTACCCACTTTCTCTAATAACCCGGGCAACGCCGGGTCCCCAAGCTAGTAAACAAATACACAGTAGCTTTACACACAGCAGTTTTCACACTGGAGCTTTCTCACATGAGGCTTCTCTCATACCGAGGTTTACCTCTCAGAACAACACTAGCTCTCAGCCTACTCACTCTTTCAGTGCTTGACTCACACTTTTGTAATCAAAAATACCCAGTTAATTTTAAATATTTCTGACAGAAACAGGCATATTACAATTGAAGAAATACACAGTAGTAGATTTAACAAAACCTTCATTGCATTAATTCATTCCCATTCCTCAGGCAGAAACCCACAAGTCCTGTACAGCAATAAGAAGCATGTATTGAACTTTCCTAGTATGTTTAATTACAAAATTCAGATTTTCTTGAGTTCAGAACATTTACTGTAATGGCTAAGATGCTTTCTTCGAAAAATCATATTAATGGGTGTGTGCAAGCTTTTATTCCTGAGTTCTGTAGTAAGGACAGGATTGGGTTGCTGTGAGTTTTCGGGGCGATATGGCCATATTTATTTATTTATCGTGTCATCCACAACCAGAACATTGTATTACATTTCTAACAGAACAAAACAAACAAACAGATTAAAAACACACACACAAATTTTGCAAACTTGGTAGCTGATTAAATGTCCTTTGACCAGTATCTGGCCACTTGGAGTGCCTCTGGTGTTGCCGCAAGAAGGTCCTCCATTGTGCATGTGGCAGGGCTCAAGTTGCATTGCAGCAGGTGGTCAGTGGTTTGCTCTTCTCCACACTCGCATGTCGTGGATTCCACTTTGTAGCCCCATTTCTTAAGATTGGCTCTGCATCTCGTGGTGCCAGAGCACAGTCTGTTCAGCGCCTTCCAAGTCACCCAGTCTTCTGTGTACCCAGGGGGGAGTCCCTCATCTGGTATCACCCACGGATTGAGGTGCTGGGTTTGAGCCTGCCACTTTTGAACTCTCGCTTGCTGAGGTGTTCCAGCGAGTGTCTCTGTAGATCTAAGAAAACTATTTCTTGATTTAAGTCGTTGACGTGCTGGCTGATACCCAAACAAGGGATGAGCTGGAGATGTCACTGCCTTGGTCCTTTCACTATTGGCTGCTACTTCCCGGCGGATGTCATGTGGTGCAATACCGGCTAAGCAGTGTAATTTCTCCAGTGGTGTAGGGCGCAGACACCCCGTGATAATGCGGCATGTCTCATTAAGAGCCACATCTACTGTTTTAGTGTGGTGAGATGTGTTCCACACTGGGCATGCGTACTCAGCAGAGTAGCATAGCGCAAGGGCAGAAGTCTTCACTGTGTCTGGTTGTGATCCCCAGGTTGTGCCAGTCAGCTTTCGTATGATGTTGTTTCTAGCACCCACTTTTTGCTTGATATTCAGGCAGTGCTTCTTGTAGGTCAGAGCACGGTCCAGAGTGACTCCCAGGTATTTGGGTGCGCTGCAATGCTCCAGTGGGATTCCTTCCCAGGTAATCCTCAGAGCTCGGGATGCTTGTCTGGTCATGTCCCAGAAGCATTCTCTCCTGACATTCTGTTCACATCTATGGCAAGCATCCTCAGAGAGGTCTCTTGGAACTAGGCAAGTGGGGTTTATATATCTGGAATGTCCAGGGTGGGAAAAAAACTCTTGTCTGTTGGAGCCAAATTTGAATGTTGCAATTGGCCACCTTGATTATTATTATTATTAAGAATAATAATAATAATACTTTATTTATACCCCACCACCAAGGGACTCGGAGCGGCTTACATGAGGCCAAGCCCAACAACACATCAATAAAAACAGAAAGCAGTAAACAAAAAAAACAGTAAACAAAAACAAATACAATACAATTAATATAAATCACATATAAACAATAACCAATAAACAGTAACACACAAGAATTAGTATTGAATAGCCTTGCAGCTTCAAGGTTTGGCTGCTTCCTGCATGGGGGAATCCTTTGTTCGAAGGTGTTAGTTGGCCCTGGTTGTCACTGTCTGTAATTCCCTTGTTTTCTGAGTATTCTTTGTTTACTGTCCTGATTTTAGGGTTTTTTAATACTGGTAGCCAGATTTTGTTCATTTTCATGGTTTCCTCCTTTCGGTTGAAATTGTCCACATGCTCCTTGTGGATTTTAATGGCTTCTCTGTGAAGTTTGACTTGGTAGTTGTTAGAATAGTCCAGCATTTCTGTGTTCTCAAATAATATGCGGTGTCCAGGTTGGCTCATCAGGTGCTCTGCTATGGCTGACTTCTCTGGTTGAACAGAAAGGAGGAAACCATGAAATGAACAAAATTTGGCTACCAGTATTTAAAAACTCTAAAATTACAACAGCAAAACAACAGAGAGGAAACAAACAAGGACATCTAATCACCTCTCAACAAAAGATTGCCCCAGGCACTGCCAGGCCATCAAATGCTAATCAAGGTGGTCAGTTGAAACATTCACACCTAGCTCCTTTGTCCCACCCTGGTCATTCCACAGATATATAATATATAAACCCATTTTCCTAGTTCCAACAGACCTCACTACCTCTGAGGATGCTTGCCATAGATGCAGGCGAAACGTCAGGAGAGAATGCCTCTAGAACATGGCCATATAGCCCGAAAAAACCTACAACAACCCAGTGGTTTCGGCCATGAAAGCCTTCGACAATACAAATAAATTATTATACTGATATTGTACTATGCTAATAATGTAATATACTGTATGCATGTATATCTTGTAAGCCACTCTGAGTCCCCTTCAGGGTGAGAAGGATGGCATATAAATGTCGTAAATAAATAAAAATAAATATCCTGCACCTTGAATTGGGCCCGGAAACTTACCGGCAACCGGCGGGGCTGCTTTAGTAGGGGCATTATATGTTTCCTATAATTAGCTTCAGTTAGAATACCTCTGTAACATGTCCAGACAGCCCGGAGAACTCACAGCAACCCAGTGATTCTGGCCATGAAAGCCTTTGACAACACAAGGACAGGATTGCTTTTCCTATAGTCGTATTCTCGAGATTTTCCGGAGCCTCCCTTTCCAGCAACACTGGGCTAAATGTTGCCTTGTAGGTGACTTAAGGGGTTTGCTTTGTATAAAACTGTGACTTATTTCAGATCAGAGTTGACTACAATAATGAAAGAAGTGTCCACACTAAAACATTGCAGAATACCTCCAGCGAAGGTAGCCGGCTGCGCACGGGTAAAGACCGCAACCAGAAGAAAGAGAAGTCGGACGGCGGGGACGGCCAGCAACCGTTGGTGAATGGAGTACCCTAACTGCATAGTTTTGAGAAGTCCTATTTCCTAAACTGTTTCAGTAAATCTTATTCCACATTAGAGAAACTTGTTAGGCCAAAGACAAAAAGAGTAGGCGAGATGGCGCAGGGCATGAAATGAATATTAAAAAAAAGTTCTGTTAGCCTTTTTTAACATCAGCAGTATGCAGTTTTTTTCAAAAAAAATAAGACGTTATACTTGCATTAAAAAAAATCTTGAACTTCTGAAAGATTGCTTTTCGAGTACATATTGCACTTCAAAACAATGAGAGAATCCTTTTGTTTTAAGAGTACTGAACTGTGCATTTGGTATTTCTGTTCAGTTGTACCATTTTAACGCATCTGGTCAAAATCACTGCTAAATTTCAATTTTCAGAATAAATAGTGTTTGCGGTAATCAAATTGGATTTCTGTTTTCAATCTATAACAAAGTTCCTCATTTAAAAAAAAAAGAATAAAATAATAATTAATAAATAAATAAAAAAGCTATGTTTTAAGTCCTGTGTCAGTTCACATTTCGGTTCACTTTTCCCCCCCAGTATTCGAGTGAACCTGGATATATGTGTAATGTAATTAAAATTGTCATTTTCATTAGCAAAAAGTTGTATGATCTGTGCCTTTTTTATATCTTGGCAGGTTAGGAATACTATATTTGGACGCAGAAATCAGGGAAGATTTGAGTTGGAAAACACTAAATGTACAATATATGTAGCAAAAAAATCTCTCCGACAGTTAGTACTTTATTAGACGAATGCATGCTTTCCATACTTTTTTCCCTCGCATAAACATCCGTAGGCAGTTTATTAAGAATAGGAAACTTATTTTGCACTGAAAATAATGGCCGATCGTGTTACTGAGAATAGTGGGGTTTTCTTAATTTTTTTTGTTTTGTTTGTTTTTGTTTCTGTATAGGCAGGACAAAAGGAAGTTTTGTTCTAAGCGCATTATTTCCATTTATGATCCAAGGAAAACCAATCCATGGTTACGGAGGGAACAAATCGTAACTTGCTCGTAAGCTAGTGGTGTGCACCTGCTGTTTGGCCAGAGGACCAATTTAAAAGAATAGCTTTATTTTCAGTTTCCCTACAGTTTTTGGTGTATAGAGATAGCCCTTTATGATTTCTTATTTCAGGGATAGTCGACCTTTTAACAGCGTTGGAAACAGATCCTGCAAACAAGGCTTCCTTCGGACGGAGATTCAAAATGTAAATAACATTGGGTTGTTATGAGTTTTTCAAGTTCTATGGCCATGTTCCAGAAGCATTCTCTCCTGACGTTTCACCCATATCTATGGCAGGCACCCTCAGAGGTTGTGAGGTCTGTTGGAAACTAGACAAGTGAGGTTTAAATGAAATGGCAAGGAGAAGGTTTGAGGAAAAGAGACAAGAGAGTTTCCGAGGTCTGAAAAAGCACGGTTTTATTTCCAGCTGGTACCCTGGAGTGGAGTTGTGTCCAAAAGCAACCAGAGTGCCTGATAAAGGCGGTGACTACCTTTTATACACTTCGAATGCAGGCAAACAAAGAAACATGCTTCTGCATATATTGACATAGTTCTCTGTGTCACTTTAGCATCATAGGAATATCAAATTCTATCTTCCAACATACAAAAGGCATGTCTCTATATTTCTTTCTAAAGAGCAGCATACAGCTTAGTCAAGGGGCCTGCTTTGACTTGTCAGGAGGGAGGGGGGATAGGCTCCTTACTTAACTATAGCCTGGGCTATTTTGTACCAGTCTCTGTATCTGGAATGTATAGATAACATGTCCCCGTCTTCTCCCCCTTTCAACATTCCTTCTCTGTCCTGCTTGCTTTCTTACACAAAGAGAACCTGATTTTTCTATACATTTCTTGTAAAGTACATATAATATATGCATAAATAAATATCTATATTTCCAATATCTCCCCATCATATATATCTGTGGAAAGTCCAGGGTGGGAGAAAGAACACTTTTTTAAATTTAATTTTTATTGAACATAAAAAGAGGTTTTATTTACATAAAAAGTGGTGGAACAATATAATTATAGTAAAGTAAGAAAAGAGATATGTCATTTCGAGAAAACCAAAGTATCCTCTTGTTTATTTACATGAAAGTGTTGGAACAATATGATTATAGGAAAGTAGGGGGAAAACTGAGAATTAAAAGAGAAAAAAAGAAAAAAGTTGACTTCCATTCCAAGCTTTGTGATTCTTCTTATTGTTTACTATGTAGTCTATTCCCCTAGTTTTATTAAGTTATCGCATTTTTCTATTTGTCTTGTCATACTCCTGGAAGAGATCCCAATTTGTCCATTTAGTCAATTTCTTCTTCAAAAAGAAAGTTAGTTTGTCCATATCCTTAATTTCACAAAGTTTAATTATCCAATCTTCATTTTCCAGGACTTTTTCTTGTTTCCAAAATTTTGCAGAGGAGATTCTAGCTGCCGTCATCATATATGTAAATAGTCTATTTTTTATTTCATGGGAGAAAAAACTCTTTGTCTGTTGGAAGTAGGTGTGGCTGTCTTAATTAGCATTTTATATCCTAGCAGTTTAAAGATGTGGATTCCTACTACCTGGGGGAATCCTTGGTTGGGTTGTAATTAGCTAACACAACTTTCAAAATTTCATTATAAATGGCAGTTCCTAATAGATTCTCTCATAAAAATCACCAATAATGAAATTTTGAAAGTTTTGTTAGAGTTATTATTATTATTTCGGTTGCTTCTACCCCGCCCTTCTCATCCCGAAGGGGACTCAGGGCGGCTTACAAAAACAAGGCACAATTCGATGCCCGTATCACAAACAATAGTAAAACAAAATAACATCAATTAACAATTAAACAACATTTCTTACATTACTAACATAAAACCAATAAAATCAATACAAACCAGTTTCTCCTCATTGATGGTCAACGTTCGCTAGCTCATAGTTCAATTTCCAATTCCACAGTTGTCAGTCCTGTTAGTCCCATTCGTCTGGTTACCCTTATCTAGGAGTCAGATTGGCCAAGGGCCTGGTCCCATAACCACGTCTTTACCTTCCTCCTGAAGGAGAGGAGGGATGTTGATGCCCTAATTTCCCCCGGGAGTGAGTTCCACAAGTGAGGGGCCACCACTGAGAAGGCCTTGCTCCTCGTCCCCACCAACCTCACTTGTGATAGCGGTGGAGTCGAGAGCAGGGCCCCCTCAGATGATCTCAAATTCCGAGGTGGGATGTAGAGGGAGATACGTTCGGACAGATACAAAGCACCAGCGCCCCCATGTTTTCACAACCAGAAATTTAGTTTCGTAAGTACTTTAGAACCATGGATTGCACATGCCTAATATAAGCCTCACTTACCTAGTTTCCAGCAGACCTCACAACCTCTAAGGATGCCTGGCATAGATGCAGGCGAAACGTCAGGAGAGACTGTTTCTGGAATACGGCCACACAGCCCGAAAAACGCACAAAACCCAGTGATTCTGGCCACGAAAGCCTTTAACAATAAAGTAAACGACATTGGTGTAAAAGTGTAAGTGACCCATACATAATAGAGCAGTGGTTCTCAACCTTTCTAACACTGGGACCCCTAAATATGGTTCCTCATGTTGTGGTAACCCCCAACCTCGCCTGCCTTGCGCTCTTGGGTGGCGAGGCAAGCGAGGCAGGCTTTGCGCGAGGCCAGACTTCGTGTGGAGGACCCCTTGCCTCCCCCACGCCCTCGCTGGATGACTAGAGTGTGAGGCAGGCGAGGCGGGCTTTGCACGAGACCAGACCTCACGCGAAGGAGCCCTCACAACCCCTCCAAAATGGCCAGGCAACCCCCCTTGGGGGTCGCGAACCCCAGGTTGAGAACCACTGTAATAGAGGATGGGGGCTGTTTTCAACTTCTGATCATGTATGAAATTTACATGCAAAAAAAAAGCTCTAATTGAATTTTCATTTTAAGCTATTCTATTTTTATTAAAAAATTACTCCAGTGGGAGTGTTGCTGATTCTGTACAGAATTGTACAATCCTGGCCCCTGCCTCTCTCTGTGCGTGTTTTGTGTGTTTCTGCTTCTTCAAGTTTTTTTAATTCCCCCCCTGCATATAAAAATGGCAACAAGCTGCACACAACTTCACAAACTTACTAAAAGGAAGTCTTAAATATTGCCAAAACATTCAATGTTGATTTACTAGTTATTTATTTTGGGAGGGGGGAATGTATAGTATTTGAAAACCGAAATTGGTACCTTGCACACACATCATCTGTAAGCTGTTTGGTTTCAAAAAAAGAAAAGAAAAGAAATACTGTAGATAATAATTAATTAACCAAGGTAGGATGACCTTGTAATGTAACTGCTCTTGGGCAATATTCTCTGTACATATTAGCTACGACAGATTGGATTTTATGTTGACATTTGTTTGGTTATAGTGCAATATATTTTGTATGCAAGCAGTTTCAATAAAGTTGGATCTTCCTCTGCTAACCGATGTTGACGCAATCTTTATAAATGATTGCTTTCAAACAAATCAATTTTTAAAAGCAAACTTTTTTTCTGTGTTGTAATTGGAAACATTGATTACTCCAGATGTGTGAAAAAAAGAAAAAGCTGAAACATTTTCAGTTTCGAGAATTTGGCTGGTAATATGCTACTTACTGGCCAAAACATGCGTGTTTAGCTGTTATATATATATAGATATATGCACTAATTTTCCACTCAAGGCTGACTTCAGTAAGGTGCTAACTAGATTTGACTTTATCTCAAACTGTAATAGGATAATCACATTTTTCAAATGACATTTTGCAGTATTTTTTGTGCTTCCCATGTGTATTCCCTTTCAATTCGAACAATCCACTGTTTTCCAAGTATTCATACATTTTTGAAAGAAAAAAAATTGTAAATCCAAATGTAAGACTCATTTTGAGAATCATGCGTGTGCAAAAAAGGTTGAAAGTGCAGCAAATGTTTGATGTTTGGGTTCACTTCCTTGATTGGTAACCACCATATGGTCTAATAAATTACAATTATTTTGGAAAAAAAATAAAAGTTTTTTTAAAGAGTGAAAGGTATTTGTTGAATGGCCACAAAATTGAAGCTTAGTATGGGGAGGCCTTTCCTGCGCCTAGGTTTGCAAAGAGTGAGTTGGTTTTCTTTATGTTTCAAAAGGAGAACGAAAAAGAAACAAAGGACTTGATTATCCCTAAACGTTACTTCAAGCTGGGAGCGTGGTGGCCAGATTTCTGAGGGTTGAATGAAAAGTAATACCTCTACCTTCGTTACTTGGGTTTGGATGGGAATCTATATAAATAAAAATGTAATGGGTTGTTGTAGGTTTTTTTGGGCTATATGGCCATGTTCTAGAGCAGTGGTTCTCAACCTTCCTAAGGCTGCGACCCCTTAATACAGTTCATGTTGTGGTGACCCCCAACCCTAAAATTATTTTCGTTGCTACTTCA